CTAAGTATATAACGCATCTTCATAAGCAATGCTGTATGTTTTCTCGGCACATAATATCGGTTTTATTGTTATGTAAAACCGTCATATTTTCTATAACTTGTTGTTAATTTTGCTAAATTGTATTCAAATAGTTACAATTTTATTGTAGAGTTCCTTTTCAACCTTGGTAAGGAAATTTGATTGTATAGTTTTCCTTACGGGCAGTAAGGCTGCCTTTTTGCCTACAAAATAAAAGAAGACATGACAATAATTTGGTACAAAGTGTACACTGAATTATTTAATTACCTAAGAATGCCTGTGGATTTACCCGCGTTATTTATCGTAGCTAGTAAAAAAATCAACATATCCAACTGCTTTTTACGTGACTTCATACAATAGAAATGCATCATAGTGATGGGACTTAGTCTTGGGTACTACACATACATCATCATTATCATCTTCCCTGCCTTATCCTACTCCCGTAGGGTCGGCGCACCGGGTTTTCGTTCTCCAAAGCATTCTATCATCCGTCATCTCAGTCATCACTCCCTTCTTGATCATGTCACCTTTCATGCAATCCATCCATCTCTTTCTAGATCTACCTCTACCGATTTACCCCTCGACATTCATAACTAACATCCTTCTTGTTACATGCGATTCATCCCTTCTCATAACATGCCCATACCACTCTAACGTTTTACTCCTTATTTTCTCAACCACTGGGGCTACTCTCAAACTTCCTCTAATATACTCATTTCGTATCTTAGTAGTACATGTACAATGTACTAAAAAATATTGTTAACAAATCGCTTCTGTTAATCGGACATTTGACACTTTTAGTACACTACACGACATTGGTGTTCGCCTACTTTGATTACATAATGCCTTTCAAAATATACCAAATGATGTTGATGGTTTATTCCCATCACAAATTTCTTGTATTATTCTTGTATATTATTACAAATTTAATTAACTTTATGATTAATATTTACACAAACCTGGCATATTTAATGTTGGTACAGCATTGTTGCTAATTTTGTGGTTGCGGCATAAGCTTTTGTGTTAGAAATGCGCCCGACATACACATCTGTACTTATATGTGTCCATTTTCCAGAGCCATGATATCACCACCAATTGCGTACAGCTATGTAAATCTTGCCCTATCCATCTCTGGGTTTGGAAACCCATGTAGTACTTTATGCATACCTTAAAATAGTAATCTGTTATTTTAACAAAGAATAATAAAGCTAGTGACTAAAACAGTAATGCCATATTCCAATAACATGAAAAATCTGAGACTAATGGCCCAAATAAAATTTTTCACACCTTTCTGGTTACCGGGCGGTAGGCATATGTAATAGAATTAAGATAGTGTCAGATATGCAGCATGCTTTAATGTACAAAAAAGTATCAGAGAGGTAAGTGCAACAATTTACTAATTTTACTTTACTGCTATAAATATGGTTGTGAAAGAACCAAATACATCTTAAAGACATAACACTACAAACTAATACTTATGTAGTCCGGCAATGTATAGGGGCACTAGGCCAAAGAAGTGGACTATGGCTATAAATTCTTATTATAAGAGAGGCGACTTCTCTCTTATAATAAGAATGTATAGCCATAGTCCACTTCTTTGGACAGAGACAGTGTTATATTAAAGTCTGTAATGGTCTAAAGTAAGTAGACATAGAATCAGACATACCTCACATTTCTGTGCATCCAGGAACGCAACAATGCTTGTCAGATGACATATTTACCTAAATACTGTTGAGGATTTTCAAATTAAACAATAATACAGTGTACTTTAATGATAATTACAGTATAGGTTGTCAATAAATAAGATAGAATAGTTTGACAATCCATTTTACATTTAGTAGGGATGTGTGTAAAATCAGTCATGAATCTTATCGATTTTATATTTTTATTCTTATAGAAGTTTGAATCGATAAATTCATAGTTATAACTCATGAATTAAAAAAAACACTGTTTTCTGAAATTAATAATGACCTGCGGAACCATTACATATAATGAGAGTAAATAAATGTTTGTTACTACTATAGCCGTACGTAATCGAATTGGATTTAGCTATTATTTCTGTCATCGCTAAATTCTCTATATAATCAATACTAGAATTGTCCTTTAAATTAGTTAATAAAAAAATAATAATTTTAGTTGAGTTCGAAAGTTATTTAAACCGAATGTCGATAGTTCAAAATTGTTCGCTATGCGTCTTTGCTCGTCACTACGATACCTGTCTATTAAGTACGGCATTTTCCTTCATACAAATTAAATTGGATACTTCATATGCGTCAATTATCAAACTACTCTATCTTATTTAGACAAACTATAACTTGGAAACCCGAAGACAAAATATTTCAAAATACCGGAGCACGCTAAATCCGTTTTGATAAAAGGAAACAGACTAATTTTGTTTTTAGTAGTATTATATTTGTTAGTCATGCCAACTAGCAGCAACAGATGGCAGTTTTACGAATAAAATTACTAGTTCAATTAATATACGATAGATGCCGCTATTTAGCAGCCGTTCGTCGGCCTTCGAAGTTAAATAAATTGAGACAATATTTTTTGTAGTGTTTTCTTTAGTTTAAACGAGGTTTAGGCTAAGCGCCATCTGCGCTCGGCCACCTCAAGCCCGGTGAATCTGTAAATGCCTCTTCTAGGCAAACAGTGGCCATTCAGTCACAAAAAAAATGTTTTCTTTAGTGTATTTGTTGAATCAAACTTTTTTTAGTTTTATACACAACTCTGATTGGATAGCATATTCTTGCAGACATTCTAGGTGAAACAATTAAATATCTCACATTAAAATTCGAAATGAAAGAGCTAGGAGCAGCAAAAGAATATGTATATAAATGTACTGAGAATGTACAGCATGCTTTTACTGTAACTGTTCAATTATAACTGAACATTATTCATCTGTAGGCAAAATTTAAAATCTACATACGTTCAATTAAAACTGTTAGAATCGAGCGCTTCTAGTGTGCTTTATAAAATCGCAAAGTAACTTCTAAACTAACAAAGTTTTTTTATAATGACAAAGCAATACTTAATTTATAGTTTTGATTTCATTTTAAAGGTCTAATTTCTTATTTTACAATTAAAATAAGACACATTTAATAAATAATATATTGTTTAATACAGTACAAACCGGATGGCACCGCACAAGGCACTCCCCCCACTATATACACAACTCTAACCTAGCACTTAAATATTCCTTATTCATACACAGCAATAACGCAAATTCAACTCCAAGTCTATAGAAATAACGTACATTTTGGAATAGCACAACAGTATTCGAACACAATATAGTAATTGATAAGCACCTTTGAACCAAACTTTTTTAACATACTGAAAAACATAATAAAAAAAGTAATTAGTGCGGAAACATACATTAGACATACAATAGACTCGATAATATAAATGTTTAAACGGCCGATTATTGAAACGAAACCAACTCTGCTTACAATCTGACAGATGTAAAAGTTTATAATTTACTTTCGCGTGTTCGTCCAGGCGCAAATAATTTTGTAATAAATATGTCACTGATATTGTAACTATTGATGAAGGAAGTTTTGATTTCGGCCCTGTATTTGAGTTATTTCAATACATACAAAAATACAAATTTTTCCTCTTTATAATAGTATATAAGACACTGTACCATATTTAAATAGCATTCTGAAAATATAAAATGCATTAATACAATAAATCTATAAACTTGAAATCAAACTTTAATACTGACTTAAAATAAATTAAATTTGTACGTCATTGTAACTAAAATATTTTCAACATAACTTATAGGAGAAAGGATTATATTATAAAAAAACAAAGAAACACTAACCGAATTGTTATAAACAAGCATCTGAACTTAAGTAAAACCGATATTTCATAACTTATATATTTACATATATTACTTATATATTTATATATATATTTACACAAAAACCTAGCGTTAAACAAAAACCAAATACTTGAAATTAGATTATAATTTTTTTTTAATTAAAAAACCAATTTTCAGTTGACAAAATTTTAAGTAAACATTAACGGCGATCTTAAATAAATATCAATAAAAAAAATTAACTCTTTAAGTCTCAAAGTAACAAAATAGTGGATGGATATGGGAAAAAACAACAAAATTTAAATTATAATTAAATTAAAAAAAAAATTAATATGCCACAGATAAAAAACTCAAGTGTACAAGAAAAGCGATAAAATATCAAATTATTGTACTACTATGAATTAAAATGAATATTTTTATTACGATTTTATTCATTATTATCCAAATTTATTTTTTTATTTGTATGAAATAAATACTATTTGTTACGTTTTTTACTATACATTATTACCAAATACTATTTACGTACTTGTATGGTACTATTTATATCTTAACATCAACACTTACAATTAAATTTCAATTTTCTCACTTTTCAATACTTTTTCATACAAAAGTATTAAAGTGCAAGGCAACATTGTAAGACACTAATTTAAGGTCACATCACACTGAATCAATTATAAGTAAAGATAAAGTGCTTATTTTATTAAAAAAAACAATTTTATTTCGATAATGTACTAAAACACATGTACCGACTGAAAAATAAAGAAACAAGAGCTTATAACATTTTTTACAAACAATAAGCCGTCTCGTAGCAACGTGACCTTTACGCGTTGAATAGTGAACGCGTCGCCCTAAATAACATTAAAAGTTTCAGCACAAATACGTCCAGCGCATTAATTTGACTACTATAAGTATAATAAACGATTAATATTATCTACTTCCTTAAATATATTAACTATATTGTTGACAATAAACTTTCAGGTTAGTGTGACATGACCTTTAAGCTCTACGTTTCCATCAATCCCGTCATAACATATTGTTATCTCTATTTCATTAAAGATAATGAAAGAGACGGCATACATTTGAATGTGGGCGTCATTTTACGCGCGCGCTGACGTAGGGTGGTAGGTGATGACGTTGTGTGCGTGCGTGAAGGGCGGTGTGGTGTCGGGGGCGTGCGGGGCGTGTGGGGCGTGCGGGGCGTGCGGCAGCTGCAGCGCGCGGCTCTTCCCGCCCAGGATGCAGCGCGTCGTCACCCCGCTCTCCACCTCCACTACCAACTCTGAACCCGTCAATCTGTTGACAATCATCATTTTAAGTCGCACGAAAATTACATTTCAAATCATATTATCGGTTACATGCAAACAGAATTAACTTTAATAATCCATACTAATATACAGAGGAAAGATTCACATTTTTGTATGTATTGAAATGACTCAAAAACTACTGGGCCGATTTCAAAAATTCTTTTACATTAGAAAGTTAATTTATACGTGAGTAACGTAGGTTCATTTTTAGTATTTTTTTTTAATTTCACGATATCGTGAGCAACAGCTAGTCAAATATAAGAAGCTTAATAATCTATATTCTGTATACACCTTTACGTATTTACGTATACGTGCGCTATTCGTCGCCAACGGAAGGTATGAGATTCGGTAAATCATAAAATAGATATGAAAACTACTTTAAAAGTATAAAATTAATGGTAGCCGCCCTCCTCCCTCCTCCAAGAGATTTCTAGATTATCGGCTAACGATGACCATGTTTTTAAGTGTATTGTGTGTACGTGCGTGCATGTAAATACGTGTGTTAGCGTATACGTGCGTAGTGTACGTACGCGTGATATCTGTGCGCGAGCACGCCGAGCAGTTCCCCGACGAGGTCGACGTGCTCGGCGCGCTGCGCGTGCTCCGCGGGCGCGACCAGCCCTAGCACGAGGTCGTTGCGCGCGCTCGGCACGCTGATCACCGCCAGCTGCGCGTCGCCACTCATCACGCGCACCGCACCCACCTATAATACATTCGTTTGTATGGATGTATGACTACGTATCTCCAAACACCTTAATTATTGTAGACAAAATTTGATACAGATGTAGGACATAGTATGGAACATGTACATTTATAGCACTGGCCCGCGATTTCCTCCGCGCGGTTTTAAAACAAAAATAAGTAGCCTATATGTTCTTCCAGATTATGTCCTACGTCAGTGCCAAATTTCTTTGAGATAATTTCAGCCATTAAACCACCAAACTTTTACATTTATAATATTAGTAAGATTACATTCTTTTTAAATTACTTATGGACGAAGTCGCAGTATAGTTAAATTTACTATAACATAACTAAAACAGAAAGGAAATTCCACATTTATAAAGCGACATCTGTGAGCAGAAGTTATCTAGGTTTAAAACAGCGCCATCTATCGTGTGCATACCTCAGTGATGGGCGTAGGCTTCTTGAGCAGCTTGAAATTGTTATCGTCCAGCTTGCAGATCGCGGTGTCGGTGACGAGCAGCGCGCGCGCAGCCAGCTTGTTGTGCCGGTTGAACTTGTGCACGCGGCACGAGAACACCGCCCTCCCCACGTGCTGGGACTTCTGCAGCTGCGCCAACGCTGATCTGTACACGTCTGGAACAAATACAGTTATGAGAACGTTCACAAATCGCAAATAAAATAGAGCTCTATGCGAGAGTGTCAAGGTTTAATTTTACTTAACACATATTTTGCATCAAGGTCAAGCGTTAAAAAGACATGGGTATTTAAGATTCAGGTTAGTATTCGTAATAAAAAATCAAACTCAAAACATTGGTTCTACACAATTAAATTCAAACATATGATTGAAGTTCTTATTCCTCCAAAATAATAGATACTTAAAAACCCCTACACAAATATTCCATTTCTATATCGCGGATGGAAAATGCCATAAGTCACTTATATATTTCTACACATTTTGTTAATTCTACTAGGGATATAAATCGAATTTTCTGTGGGACAAGTTACCTTACTATAAAATTAAAACTGATAGTAAATTTAACTCATTGGTTCAGCTATACTTACTAGCTTTATCATGATAATTATCTAAAGCGAGGTAGTCCCCCCGCCAGAGGCGTGCCGCGCCCCAGTGCGCGCGGCGGCCGCGGAGGGCGCTGGCGGCGCAGATCTTCAGCTTCAGCTGCGGCCACTGCTCCCTCGGTACGGGCCGCAGCGTCAGGTACGCGCGCCAGCGCCGGTACGCCGCCTGCAGTATGGACACCGGTACGCGCCGGGGAGGCTCCGCCCAGCGCCGGATCACGCCCCCGTTGCGCTGCAACTCCTGCTGCAGCTCGGCTATGTAGCGCCGGTAGCGGTAGCGTCTGAAGATGGTTTTTGTATATATTAGCTCGCTGTACCTTTGATGACGTCATACGTCACTGAGCTGTCACGTGTTAGTCGAAGCTGGTAGCTTGATTAATAGTTATCTTTACAATTTACTAGCTTTTGCTACTGACTTTCTTCTTTTGGTAAAGAATTTCTGAATTCGGTCCAATAATTTTTCAGTTTATTCGTTACAAACAATAATACAAATAGTAAATGTATAGATTATAATAATAATCTTTTAATAAATGCAAATATTTACATAGACGTTTATTTTTAGGTATCTCCAAAACGGATTAACAGATAACTTTGAAATTTAGCACAGACTGGAAAAAAATTACTAAATAAGTTTTCCTACTCCGCGTGAACGGAGTCGCGGGTAACATAGTATTAGTAATGTAAAGTTTACTTACTTCCACGCATTAAATATGAAGAGAGCCGCCTTCATCTTCCTGTAGCGCTGGCGGGCGAGCGCGCCGCGCCACAGCTTCTGCAGCAGCACCACGATGGAGGGGATCAGCTGCGCGCGCGCCGCCTCCAGCGCGTGCACCGTCTGCGCACTCCTACATACATCCATACATTTATCAGGGGAACCTTACTAGTTTTAATTATTAACATAATAATTTTAGCTAATAATATCTATAAAAATCCAAGCCTACATCTAAAAAATCATTACAAGTGCAGTTAAGTCAACAAAGGCGTCGTTTTTATTAAAATCAGGCTGTCGCTCGCGACTTTGCCCGTGTAAAATTAAAAACTATAGCTATACATATAAAATATATATGTTATTCAATGATTGAAAGTTTTTTAATAGTGTAAGAATGATTGAAATCGGCGCTGTAGTTTTTGAGTTATTGCAATATATTCAAAAATACATATCTTTTCTGCTTATAATATTAGTATACATAAATAATTTAACAGTAAAAGTAAACACAAGGAAGTTTTAAGTCTGTACGAGAGACTATAAAAGCAGAAGTATGAAAGGATTGTGTGAAGCGGATAAAAGGAATGTATAGAGCACATACTCCATAGGGAAAGGGCCAGGGTTACCTGATGAAGAGTTTGGTATGCCCAAACTGCACGTCAGTGATGTGCAGGTCGCGGAGCAGCACCAGCACGGCGTCGCGGTCGCTGGCGCCGCGGAAGTTGGGCCACGTGTACTGCGACAGCATCTTGTACCGCTTCAGGAAGCGGTCGTAGCGCTGGCGCGACGCGAAGCCAGCGCGCCGCACGCGCACGTTCTCCACTAGCCCCAGGTACGCCACCTGGTGACGCACCTGGCACACAAATTCATATTACTAAAGCACGCAATTAAAAAGATAATAAAAAACATAATGAAATTGTAAGATAATTTATGATTTACTAGCTGTTGCTCACGACTTCGTCGGCGTGAGAATTGAAATAGTAAAATAGCCTATGTTACTCAGTGATAACGTAGCTTTCTAAAGGTAATTTTTGAAATTGGCCTAGTAGTTTTTGAGTTATTTCAATACCAGAGATCCAAAAATACAATCTTTTCTCTTTATAACAGTAATATAATATCATATTATGACGCTAGCATTTTAAAAGGTGTGACGTCACGCTGACGGATCAGTGTTTCGTGTAAGTTTGTAATAATGATTGCTGTTTCCTGTCATCATTCTAATGAAGCCAGTTACCAGTTGTTCATCCCAGTGCTGCGGCGCCTGCACTGGGTTGGGCTTGACGCAGCGCACGTAGAAGGGCTCCTTGGTCTGCAAGCCCGCCACCAGCGCGCCCATCGAGTTGCGGAACAAAGTCGCCGCGGACGGCGGCCGTTTTGACGTCTGAAAAACATCATTTATATAAAACTAGCTGTTCCCTTGCGGCTTCATCCGCATGAAATTATAATTCTAATAAAATATTTTGGATAAAAATTTGGGTTTTTATCCAAAATATTTACCCCCAAAGTTTAATGGCGTGAAAATATATAGCCTAAAGCGTGACGTAAGTGTAGGGCTTTTTTTTGAAAAAAGAACTATTCAAAAATATGCTGTAATTGCTGACATCTTAGGCAACAAAGAAGTGTGTGTTTACGCTTTATTATAATAGTATAGATTTAAATCTCTTACTTATATTGTCAAATCTAAAGTGAGGATAGATTACTAATTATCGACATGACGCAGGAATTTGGATGTTATTTGGAACAAATACAGATAATAGTCTGAAAGAAGACCACTCTAATCAAGCTTCTTTTAATCATGGACAGATGACGTTTAAAACATATCTTATCTTTCTAATGTAATAATATGGAAACACACTTATATTTGTTATGTAGGATGTCAGAAATAACAATATACTTTTAAACATATCCTTTCTTAATGAACCCTACACTTTTAACTGTCTTTAGGGCATATATTTTCACACTATTGTACTAAAGATGAGAGTAAATTGAAAAATTTATAATGCGAGAAAGGGACAAAAACTACAAGCCAATAGCATCAGAAAAGCAAAATTTTCCATTATTACGATAACTGTTAACCAATGTCATTGTCATTTTTGCATTTAAATTTTAACATTAGAATAGTTAACATCCTATAAATTGTAAATAAGTTATTTTTTGCGTACTTTCTGTATATTAGTGGCACCTTCGGGCCACATGTGCGCGAGCGAGGCGTTGCGCGAGGAGTGCAGCAGCCGCTTCAGGTCCTGCCACAGCGAGTCCTTGTTCTTGTCCATGAAGCCCGACACCGCGTACGTCACCTCGCCCGCGTAGTGCCTGACACAATAATCCTTATAATTATAGCTTCACACATATAAAATCAATTATACATAGATTTAGGGTCTGTCTCACCATTTAAGTCAGATAAGGCAACAAAATCCAATATTTCCATCGCATATTTTACACGTTGGATTGTTATCTGACTATTTACAATTTGGTGGGACGGGCCCTTAGTCTTATATTTAATACGTAACCAGGTAGCTATCGTAGACAAAACAGCGTTATTACAGATGTCTTACAAACACGCACGCAATGCACATTACAACGGGTGTCTCCCGTTCAATCGGGAATATAATTCACAATAGGTTGAACGACCCAACGGGAAATAACCATGGTAAATAAAACGACAAAAACATCCGGCTCAAAGGACCAATTACACTTTAGCTTTAAAACACGTTTTTTATATTGTCAGATATACATAAAACACTACAATAATACAAAATGTTATTTTTAATCTACTACGCGATTTACAAATAATAAAAACTTCTGTAGCAATATGGTAACTCACGTTATTCTAAAATCGACGCTGTGCTTGAGTTTTTTATCAGTAGGACTGAGCTGCCGCGATGTATAGTGTTTATGTCCATTCAATCTCTTATCCATGGCTTCTAGCAGCTGACTGTCTGATATCTGAAAATATTCATTTATTTAGTATGCGCCAGAAAGAGACAAACATAGGTGATAGAGTGAGAAGAATTGTGACGAGGTATACGAGCGTCAGAGGAGTTAAGCACTTGATTTGGAATTTACAGATACTGGGTTCAAATCCCATGTTTATCGATATTCAAATGTTATATGTACAGTCGGGGAAACTGGTAGTGTTACACCGCAATATACATTTGTTGAAAAAAAAAATTTACGCTTATAAATGTATCTGAAAAAGTCAGTTAGTAATTATTGCTTCGATTGCACTCAATGCTGTCTAATTATTTGTAAGAAGAGGCGGAATTTTCGTTGCAGAAAATTCAATTTCCTGATTGTACATCGCGGATTTCCGCGATTGTACATTTATATAACGTTATTATTCTGTAAGAACAAAATAATTCAACCTGCATTAGAAAATTCAAAGATATGTGAAGTCAACTTGCAGTGCAGAATTGATGCCCAGTCATCCCTAAGTGTGGATTTACTTAGGTGGTTAGTGGTACCTTGGTGGGATTGAGGCAGGCCTCGTCCATGATGGCGATGATGCCCTGGTGCGGCGCGTCCACCAGCTCGCAGATGACGCGGTTGTTGAAGTACTGCACCGCCGTCCACTGGATGCCCTCGCGCGCGTACTCCTCCTGCTCCTGCTTCAGCACCAACTCTACAATATAAACATTGTTTTTTACTTTTTTTTTTTCACAAAATATTAACCAGCCAGTCAAGTTATTTATTAGCGCGGTCCTGGCAGTTGTACGACAGTGTCGTATTTGAGCGCCACTTGCCTAATTTACTGGTATAGTGTTAGGCATTATCATGACAAATATTTTAGATTATACTGGCAACTTTAATGATCTAACTACACTACAGATAAATAACTCAGAAACTGGGCCGATTTGAAAAATTACGTCACCATTAGAAATCAGTAAGTGACATAGGCTTTTTTTTAATTTCACGCGGGCGAAGTCGCGAGCAACAGCTTGTGACAGATAATTTGGTATCTATGCTGAATACTATCTGAGAATAATTTAGTCTATGGCATGTTAAGATAGAGATTACATTGTTTTTAAAGGGTTCTGGTATATACCAATAAAGAGCTGCTGCAGCTTCTCGTTGCAGTAGTTGATGCAGAACTGCTCGAAGCTGTTGGTCTCGAAGATCTCGAAGCCGTAGATATCGAGCACACCGATCAAAGTGCTGCGGAAAGTGCCTTTCGGCGCTTCTATCGCCTTGTTGATCTGTAACCAGTTTATAAATTACAATTAGTAAGTTTATTTGTGTCCACAGAGTAGTGGAAAAAGAGTTTAATGTTAAAGTAAAGGATACTCGGTACTTAGAATTTATCGTAGTAATTGTAAATGCGAAAGTTTAGATGGATGTTTGTATGCATCTCGGGAATAATTCAATGTATCTCAATGAAATTTTGCACAGATGTAGAGCAAATAGACTACTTACTAAGTTTTTTAATTGCGCAAATTTGACAGCGACATCTAGACTTACTTATAACAAATGCGAAAGTTTGGATGTTTATGAGTTTATGGCCTAAACTGCTGAACAGATCTTAATGAAACTTGCCATAGATGTAGAGGATAGCCTGGAAAAACACATAGGCTATTTTTTTTATCTGTTTTCTTTGTTACCTCTTGTACAATCCAACTGAACAGTCTATCATACGCGGCTTTAGCGAGTGCAAGCCGCGTGTAGTGCGCGTCGCTGAGCGAGTGCCGCTTGCTCACAAGCTCGCCGCCCGCCGCCAGCACTCGGCACGCGAACGCTTCCCGTAGCGCCGTCTCGCTCACACCCAGCGCGGTCACGCATGAGCGCAAAGGACCGCCGATATTTAGCTCGCCTTCTGATGTTTCGGTAAAACTTAGCTCGCCCTGTTTAAATAAAATAATAAAATAAATAAATCACTATTTATTGACAAAAAAATTATAAAATGAACACAACTTACAAAACATATTACTGAAGTAAAAATTTAAAAAAAAGATTCTTGGCCAAAATACTTGTTTATTTAAATTGCTACGGTTGTCAATGAAATAAAGAAGAAATTTGTTTTATTGTTATTTTATGACTAAATCACTAATTTTTACTTTTAAATCTTAGTTTATTAATGATTAGCAGTTGCCCGCGACTTCGCCCGCGTAAAATGTAAAAAAATATTGCCTATGTTATTCACTGATAACGTAGCTTTTTAATGGTGTAAGAATTTTTGGAATCGTCCCAGTAGTTTTGAGTTTCAATACACACAAAAATACAAACCTTTCCTCTTTATAATATTAGTATAGACAAAAATCAAGCTAGATTAGGACAATTTTAAACATTATGGTTACTTTAAAAACACAAATTCTGGTATTGTAATAATAATCTATAACTCACCAATAAAATAACACCAGCAACTATACTCCAAATATCCTCGACCACCGTAGAGGAGAATCCCAATGCATTAAAAGCGCTATTCGTTACAGAATAGAGTTTAGAGTCGTGTGCGGTACCTCGCTCGCTGCCTAATATCTTGTACACTTCGGTTGAACTCAGTCCAAACTTCTTTGTATAAGGATTATTTGTACTTAATAACTGTAATAAGAGAAAGTAGAATCTTAGAATCTAGACTACATTTTTAAATATGACTAAACATGGTAGAGTTTAAGGTCCTTTTCCACTGGAATTGCAATCTATGTTAATGTCTATTTCCACTTAGCAGTTCTAATTTTGTATAGCGGTTGCCGTGCCCTTGGAAATAAAACTGCGCGCGATTTATTTATAAATATGGTCTTTTAACATAATAAGTCTTTTAATAGTAAGATTTCACTGCTGAAAAACTTTTATGCGAAGATATTAAATAACAATAACAAAGTTCTATTCAAGTATACCGCAGTGAAAACTTAATATCGCAAACTACATATTGAATAAATTACTGGTTACTTTAAAATAAAATTCATCAGTTTGTCACCTTCCGCATTTCCAATGTTAACGAACAATTACAATAACAATCAATGTTTAGGTAGAGGTTAGAGTGTAGTGACGTCATTCTATCAACAAAAGATGTTTCCTTAACGGTCACCAATTGGACAAATTTAACATAACTTTACTGACAAATGCATCATTTTTCCACTTTTATATTTCACACGTATTCCCATAGTTTAACAGGAAGTGGTCAATCTCAAGGTTATTTGCGATAAAGATAAACACATAAAAGGAAGTTTAAACATTAAATTATAATGTCATTTAAAAATATAATTCATATCACTAATACAAAGTTCACATCTATACTAATATAATAAAGCGTAAACACACACTAACTTGTGACGTAAGATGTCAGCAATCACAGCATATTTTCGAATAATTCTCTCTTTAATAAAAAGTACTACACTTTGTGTATGTCCCCTAATGTGGAAAAGAGACCATAAGTTGCTGCCAAAACGAAGCAAGGCTGTCATCATGTCGTGTCATGACATTTGCAATTGAGAATTTAACAAATGTAAACAATGAAATAAAGTTTTTATAATTTCATGCGGATGAAGCCGCACGAGAACAGCTAGTTTGATAATAAAACATGATATTATAACTCATGTAATTGTATTACACAAGTACTATGTTTTGATACAATAAGGTCCTGTCCCACCACTGGCTGATAGAGGCTTAGCCTTAGAAAAAGTAACATTCGATTACCCATTATCAATCGAAAAGTAAAAAATGTATAGAACTGACAATAACATTTGATAAGTCACGTGTTTGTCACGGTTTCATTCCTATAGATTTTGACACATTTTGTCGATTCTACAAGCGCCATCGCTAATCGAAAGTCACTTTGTCTAGAGGGTTTGATAGCTTACAAATGACGTCACTCTCAGATAAAATCCTATATTTCAATCACATATTTTACACGTTGGATTGTTATCAATTTACAATTTGGTGGGACATGCCCTAAGTTTTTCATATTCCAAAGACAAGATTAAACAATCCTTCCAATAACTACAATTACCGAGATATCGCTCTACATTCTATTATAGACAAAATCAATAGAACTGAGAATTGACACATTTCTATGATAAAACAATCTAAATAATATTATAAATGTGAAAGTTTAGATGGATTGATGGATGTTTGTTAGAATTTGTAGCCTATACGGCTGAAGGGATTTCGATGTAATTTGGTACAGATGTAGAAGATAGTCGGAAAGAATACATAGGCTACTCACTTTTGTTTTTTTTTAATTCCACGCGGACGGAGTCGCGCGCGAAAGCTTGTTATTTTATAAAGTTAGAGCGCGTGCACACCTTTGACTAAACTATCGCACAACTGTTTAGTCTCGCTTTGATTTCTATAAGCTTATATGGAGGTGCGCACACTACTCGATTGTTAGTTGTGCAACTGAACAATTGGCGGCGAAACAATCGACAACCGTATAACAGAAGGTGTGGCCCGCTCTTAAAGTTTTTAAATTCCCGATTACGATATTAAAAAGTTTCGTCAAAAGTCCTTCTTTTCCCTCAATCCCACTAAAAAGAACCAAACACCAAATTATCAATATAATTTACCTGATAGAACGCATGAAAGTTCCTCTCCCCAGGCTGCAGACTGACAACTCTGCTCTTCTCTAGCAGATAATTGCTAATATGTCCACCAACAGGATCACCTTTGTAGTCGAAATGTATATCCATGTATTTGCCGAAGCGAGACGAATTATCATTCCGGTTTGTCTTCGCGTTACCGAACGTCTCCAAGATCGAATTCGATTGTATTAACACGTTTTTTACTCTGAAACATATAAGAGATTTAAGGCCTGACCCAACACTGGCTGATAGAGGCTCAGATTGCTTTAATATGACGTAATAGTCTGATAAGGTAACATAATGTGATATTTCCATCACATACTTTACACGTATGTTATCAGACAATTTACAATTTGGGAGCACAGGCCCTTAGTTTGTAGTCTTACTAATATCTTCATACTAATTTATACTAACATTTTATAAAGGAAAGTTTTGTATGTTTTAAGAAACTTAAAAACCATTTTTAAATTATTTAATGATTACTTTATCAGTAAGTAACAAAGGCTATATTTTGTATTATCTTTTAATTACACACGGAAGTCGGGAGTAACAACTAGTATTATAAATGCGAAAGCTTAGATGGATGGATAAACATCCTAGTCTAACAAACGTTAGAATTTGTAGCCTAATCGTCTCAACGGATCTCGATGAAAGGCATAGATGCAAAGATTTCAGGAACACATAGGCTACCTACTTTTTTATTTCCACGTGGAGGGAGTCGCGGGCGAAAGCTATTATAACACAATAGTCATTACCTGTCGATGTATTCCCTGTGGACTTGCGTTGTGTTCGCGGCTATGTATTTCATTATAAACTTTGAGGCCTCTGTCTTCCCCGCACCGGATTCACCAGATATCAAGACGCATGTATCCCTGCCCTGAAATAGATAAGTTCAATAATTAGTGTGAGTATTCACTGCCTAACACGGCACAAAACCATATAATTATTTTAATTTCTTCAAGAATATGTATAAACTGAATGACCTTATGAGAGATAGCAATATATTTTTGTACGAGTGTTTCGGTAGTGGAAGTCCACGGTTACAATACGACGATCGTTACAAAAGACAAAAATGTAAAAGGAATACCACTGCAATTTTCTTAAATCAAGCTAAGTATAGCTTACAAGCGAAGACATGCCCTTGGGTTGGGCAAAATAGTCTGAGTACGGTGGTCCACATAAATTAACTCAAATGAACTGGACATTACAAGAAGAGTGCATTCAAAGCAAGAACAATACAACAAAACGTTTACTACACTTTAACTCCGTGCCTAAAGACATCCTCAAAGCAGCGGTGGTCCAAAGCCATTTGCGTATGCAACTTTACGATCTCTTGACTCGATTTTATGCTGCTATTCGGTAAAACGACACGAGAATGGAATAAAGGATGGTTATGGATGGATTAAGGATGGAAATGGCACAAACGAATCATGTTGTATTGTAAAAATAGATTACTTTTGACTACTACTGGCGCATTGCTAAAACATACTAGAAGAGAAGAAGAGGATATATTTAAGTTATTCTTTTACCTAAAACTACTGAATGAAAGCAATAAAATCTAGCTTATACGAAAATATAAGCGTTTTAATGCATTACTTTCTACGCAATTACATAATGTTTGTAAATTTAATTTGATTTTATGGAAAACTAGCTGTTCCCGTGCGGCTTCATCCGCATGAAATTATGAAAATTTTATTTTATTGTTTACATTTGTCAAATTATAAATAGCAAATGTCAAAAACTTGGCAATTTTTCTTCCTTGATGTTGGCAGCAACTTATGGTCTCTTTCCCACATTAGAGATTTTATCCAAAACATTTACTCCCTAAGTTTAATGGCGTAAAAATATATAGCCTAAAGCGTGAGGTAAGTGTAGGGCTTTTTATTAAAAAAATAATTATTCAAAAATATGCTGTAATTGCCGACATCTTAGGCAACAAAGAAGTGTGTGTTTACGCTTTATTATAATAGTATAGATACATATAAATTCTAGATAATTAAAAATGTGGTTAATAGAAGATCATTGCTCTAATTTCGGAAAAAGCTTGAATAGTATGTTTATTAAAGCAATGAGCTTAACGATAAAAACCACAACAATGGCGGCAACTTTACGTAGTCAGCGATCGCGTGTCCATTGTATTGAACGCACAAGTGAGGGTGGCGCAATAAATTATTTAAAAAAATATGATGTCAATGGAAAACCCCGAGTATAACGTAGTACAAAATTACTTTGAACATCCAAAAAGAAAAAAACATTGTAAAATACTAAAGTCCATATTCGCCTAAAAGTCATACTACAAAAAAAACCATTTTGATTTAATTTTCATTAGGGCAAAAACCATCCTTACCGTCCTCGGAACGTCTTACCAAAATCTCATTAAAATATACCTAATGGCTTAGGAAAGCATAAAGCACAAACTTATAAACGTCTTGCAAAGTACGGGTTCATCTCAAGGTCAACTCATATTAATCCTAAATCCAATACAATGCACACACGTGACTAATAAAGCAATCTCAGATTAGAACTATGGCTTCAACGACGATAAAATCACAGTTTTACTTCCATTAAATTGATATAGAAAATCCTGAATTATTTCTTCCAAGAGCATTGAAATGCAATATTAATTTAAAATTTACATGTAACAACTATAATTCTACTAAAACGATTAATCCTTAAATATTACTAATGCTTGAATTATTCAAAAGACGAGTCCTTCCAGTTAGCGGATGAATGCCAATTCTAGTAAACCTAATGGTTCATCGGTTGTCTTTTGTTTTAAGAACTGGTTATTTACACAGAAACTGACTGAGCATATTATTGTTACACTTTAGGATACAAGTTTAGTATCAAATTTAACAGCTCCACTTAAGGTTTTAAATGTGAAATGGTTAATAGAATAGAAAGTGAATGTTGGAGAACTGTTAGCTACTGCAACTAAGTCTGCAATCGGATTCATTTGCAGTCAACCACACATTGACATAAGATACCCGTGGCTCAGTAAAAGTTATCCGTATTAAATTATTGTCACACTCTCAGTAGAAGTACAGTCAAAGAATTTAATTCACATCCCACTACACTCACCTGCTGTCTGAGCACTCTTTGACAGGCGTCTGCCACAGCATACACGTGTGGTGGTACTTCAAACATTTCCCTGCCTCGATACTGGGCCATGTGTTGTGCATTGTAGATGTCCAAGTTCTTGTACGGGTTGACGGAGACCAGCACCTCGCCGATGTAAGTGTATATCTTGTTGTGTTGGAATCTGAAGCAAGAGGATATAATATTTAGACAGGTCTTCCTGTAGTGCTTAAAACTGGCTCGTCTAATTTATTTGAAGGATATTGTCTGTACCTTTTTGATTCCCTATAAGTTATTTAAAGGAGTAAATTTCCCTAGTCCTAACTTAGCATGAAAAAATGCACTGTAGGAACTAAAAAGCATTTTTACATAACTTCCTAATATATGGTTGGCAATTCGCTTCTGACATGACATGACTCGGATCCGTCCAACTACAGGCCGATTGCCATTACCCCCTTGTTTTCGAAAGTCATGGAAACCACCATCAACTGCCAACTTATGAGGTA